CTATTTGACATGAAAAGGCAGCATTCTCAACAGGCAGAAGGTGCAATGTTAAAATGGTTCCCAAAATTTTTGACAGTTGAACAGGGCAATCACATACATGTTGACTCAGCTGTAAGTCCAATTGTTTTCAATAAGGCTTTCTCCCAGGCCAGCTAAATGCTTAGCATAATTTCATCAAGTGCATGAGGACATAAAAGGAACTGTAATGAAGAGATGACATTTAATATACAGCAAATGAATATAAACACTTTCCACATACACCCCATCCAAATTCTATTCTCTTTGTTGTCACACATTCTTTTCTTTTTCTGTCTTCACACTTAGATTTCCACTTTTACTGGCATGACTTCAGTTCTTTTAACAGCTGCAAAACAAAAATGCAACAAGTGACTTTTCCCAAACATGATAGAAAAAGCATCACCCATTGAATTCCTGCAACTAGACTTCACACAGGATAGTTTTCTCCAGTTGCTTCAGCTGTTGACAAGTTATGATAGTGGAGGTGCATTGTTGTAATAACTCAAAAAAGAAAGAAAGGTAAGAGTGTTAAAATCTTGAAATATACAGTTCAAGCTTCGGTTGTCAGCATGACTCAGTGTGTTGATAAGGAGAAATAACAATTAATATGAAGGCATGTTAATGAATAGGAGATTGCTTATAGGTGTGCCAGTTCACTTCCTTGTATTTTGTCACAGCTCATAAAGATAAACAATATTAGGAATTCTGTTGCTAAATGTTCAGTGGTAAGTAACCTTTCCCAGACATCCTGTCAACTTCAGATAGCATTTGTGCTGCTAAGGGAAACTTAGGTAGGTATTTAACTATGTTTTACTTAGAGTAGATCCATTGAAATTAATAAGCTTGACTAAGTTGTGCTCATTAATTTCAGCAGATTTATTCTGAGTAAAACATAGTTGAATACCACCCTTAATCTTCATCCGGTTCATGTTGCAGGTGTGTATATGAGCTTCACTAACTTTCCACATTGAAAAATGTTTTTCAGATGCACCTATCTTGCAGAACAGGTGATAAATAGCACCATTAGATGTCCAGATGGTTTTAATTAAATATGTTTAACTATTGTTTGTCTCGGCATAATGAGGAAAATGGCCCTTACATTAGTCTCTCCCTCCCTCCCTCCCTCCCCCCCTTCCTCTCTCTCTGATTCAGTTCTCCGTGTAGTAACTTCGGAACCACAGGTGTGACTTCAGAAGTAGGGAAGAAACACAATGAAAGAGCAGGAGTTCTTAGAAGCACAATGAAAAGAAGCTTCTACATACAATATTGTTCTTTTCAGAAAACACACACAGAAGTGCTGCAGGGTGTTTTTGTCATGCTGCTGCTTTATACATCAGGAATCAGTGGACACAAAGCCTGTCAAACTTTCCTAGCACAATCTTCTGAAAAAACAAGAAACTTCTTGCTTCCTGTGAAGGAAGCAAGGAAGTAGTAGAGCACATGAAAAGTCCTTAATCCTCAGCATCTCCAAGTGGACCTGGGAGAGATAGGCCTGAGACCCCACAGAGTCACCACCAATCAGTGCCAACATTACTGAGCTAAGAGGACCAATGGTCTGAGTCAGTATAATGTGGCTTCCTGTGTTCTTTTGTTCTATTGGTGAAGAACTGAGCCAGCCACTCCTTGGGTCAGGCACTCTCTGATATGCAAGCAATAGCTCAAAGCTTTTTATTTATTTAGGAGTTCAACTTGGTTCATGATCCAAAGCTCTGCAATGTGCATACTGAGCTTCCTGCAGACGGGAGATGCTCATGTCTTGTCTGTAGTGAGATAATACTCTGTACTAAATAGCCATTCCCATTACCACATGACGGGAGGATAAAAGTTCATATTCAGTCAATTCTGATAGCTTGCCCAGCACAAGGATCCTGCTTTGTATATCTGAATAATTTTCATGTGTGGGATGGGTCAGAAATGAGAGCAGCAACTACACTGCCGCCTACATGTGTGAGATGGGAGTAATGGCAGCATATTGGATATGGGTCCAAGAACTGTTGGTCTAGGAATATGATTTGACACAGAGCCTCCTTGCCCCTGCTTTGCACATGTCAAAATCTCTATTGGTTGAAAGAGAGTCTCTTTGTGGGTGCAAAGTTCGATTGCATAAAAGCTGCACCTACAGCAATTCCCTTTTGCTATGGGGGCGTACTGGGAAGAAAAAACAACAATATCTGTTCCCCCATCTTGGGAATTGCACAAACCAGCTGTTAATTAGGAATCAATGAAGCAGTCCACTCTGGTTCCTTTGTTTTACCAGTCTTAAGTTCAGTTTGCCACATTTCCACATCAAATTTTGCAATTTTTTTATTTTAAAAAAAATCCTAATGAAAATCTACCAGCATTTTAGTGAAAATGTCTCATATTAGACACCTTTTTGCAAGACTCTTTCCCTACTATTATGCATTTAAATGTTCTTTTTCACTATTACAGTGGTACCTCAGGTTACATATGCTTCAGGTTACATACGCTTCAGGTTACACACTCCGCTAACCCAGAAATAGTGCTTCAGGTTAAGAACTTTGCTTCAGGATGAGAACAGAAATTGTGCTCTGGCGGCGCGGCAGCAGCAGGAGACCCCATTAGCTAAAGTGGTGCTTCAGGTTAAGAACAGTTTCAGGTTAAGAACGGACCTCCGGAACGAATTAAGTACTTAACCCAAGGTACCACTGTATATGCATTTTTAAGAGCATTTCTCCCTAATAATACACAAATTTGTACACATTTTTGTTGGGACCACTGCATCACAAAATTCAGAAAAGTGCAAATGTAAATTATACTCATGCCTCAGTTCTTGGATGCAAATTAGGTAGGTTTGCATTAAGATAGGAAGAAAACCAAATTTCTCCTCCATCCCTAGCTATTACCCACATGTTCCTTGATAGGTGGAGAACAGATGGTGACAAATGAAGTCTTCTGGCATTCATCTGTGTTTGCTTCTCTTGACTGAATGAATGCTTCAGCTTCAAGCACTGCCCTGCTATGCTTCACTTGTAAGTTTATAATGTCCCATTGAAATACAGCCATTAAAAAAAAAAACAACTTTGCCTCTTTAAGAATGTATAATTATTTATGACAGCAAACCGGCTAGAAGAAGCACTTCTAGATTAATTAACAGTGACCCATAATTAAACACAGCAGTACTTTAGAGAAGCAACAGTCCCTTGATAGCATTGCTTTTGCTATAATGAGTGTTTATCATCCTTGTTTGCTTTCACAGTGGTAGTTATCAAGTTTAGTTACCAGGTTTTTTAATTAAGTGGAAATATGGATAAGGTACTGTAAAAATACCCAGGATTTACAGATAGCTCTCAGTGTATCAATTCCATCAGAGAAACATTCATGCGGCCCATTCCTGTCTTTATTTGTAAGTAAATAATTCCCACTAAATTCACTTGAGTTTATTCCCATGTGAGATGATGCTGTTCATATCAATGTACTGCCAAAACTTCCAGTGGCTGTCATGGAAAGTTGTTTTGTGTGTGTATATAAATTTTAATGAAGTGTAGGTGTTTTGTATGGGCTTTTCTAATGGTATGATGTGTTTATGTTTATGTTTTAAAATGTGCTGTTAAGCCTATTGTGAAAAAGAAGTTTTGCAGTCTTTTCACAAAGTTGCTGTATATCTTAAGTTTATTAAAGTTAGCAATATGGAAATTTTGCAAAATACGTTATCAGTTTTTGGTAAATTTTAATGCACTTACAATCTCAATAGCAAAGTTTGATAAGAGAGTGCTGGTGCCAAGTAATTTTGTGCAAACACACATTAATTTAGTAATATGCTAAGTAGTAGATTATTCTGTTCTGAATATGTACTGGGTAACTAATAATCAAATCTTGGTTCTGCCAGGTGGTATTTCAGTATTGGGCTCAATGCTTTTAAGCATTCTTCAAAAACTTTGATTCCATTTCTCTGCCTTTCCTAGTGACCATGATTATGTTTATCTGTTTTGTTAATTATCCTTTAATAATGGGTATCTTGGCTACAGAGCAAGTACAAGGCTTTCAGAGAACATTCAGTCCTCCTAGAAAATCCATTCATTGTCGTTGCAGAGGTGATGTTGCATTGAGAATTCCTGCAGTGTGTAAAAGAACAAAATCTCCTAAAGAATAGACAACTTAGTCTTTTCATCCTCTCATGTTGTGATTTTTACATGGCTTAATTATGGTTGGAGTTGCACATTGTTCCCAGTATTTATGAAAGAAGAAATATCACCATAGCTATAGTGCTGTTGGTATTCTCATGTGTAGCTCAGAGTAAATCCAGAATTCCATCGTTCAAGATGGCTGATTTCCTGGCACAAATTTCTCTCTTTATTTCCAGCAGGCTGGAAGAAATATTTGTTCAGAAAACATAAATCTATACTCCTAAAGACTGTAAAAAATAAAAATAAAAAATAGGCAGCAGGGTAGGTCAATTTGGGGTCCCAACAGCAGCGGCTTTGTAATCCTTGCCACAAGTAGATCAAAGAGGGCGATCTTTGTTTTCTTCTGCCATTGTTTAAATCCCAAGTAAAAATAGAACTCTGACCAGGTTCAAATGAAGGTTGTTCTGAGAGCAACTTGTTCCTGCAGCGCTAGGAAAGTTTCTTGCCGCCAGTGCATCTCACAGTGTGAAGCCTGAGCAGGGCAAACAAAGATATGCAAGAGGATGAAAAGACCAATCCCATCATTATCCCTGCTTTTCTGGAAGACGTGTAGCCTCTTTTTAACCAAATAAAGATAACAGTACCCTGGCACAAACATAGGATAGGTCAATGTTACAATAGGTCCAACTATTATTATGGAATGGAATGCTGATTTGTAGAAGGAAATACTTAGCATTAACAGCATTGCAAATTTTGTTCGGCTTCAGGCTGCAGAATGCATTCCTCTTACTTTCCTGTCTCTGCCCATGAAACCTTCTTTTCCCTCCCCACCCCCTCCTAATCTAATTTGGAATTGGATGCTCCAAGTTGTGACTGCTACAGAACTTTCCTGCTGAGTCATGACATTGCTTGCTCAGACATTGCTAAAGCAGCCTTTTCATGGTTTGTTTGTTTTTAAGGGAAAGGCTCTGCACCGTCAGCTTGCTGGAAGGATGTTCGCTAGCTATGATTGCACCTCACCAAAGTAATGGGCTCTCCTACTGCCGTCATTTGCCGATGCTTCTTGATGTGACATAGGCCACATGACTGGGATGTCCAAATGGCAAGTGTTGACAGGTAATGGTCACTAGAAGAAGGCTTCCGTTGTTTATCATGGTGCTACTGAAAGTCTACTGGGAGCTGACAGATGCCACTCCAGAAGGTTAATAAGATGAAGGCAGCTCCTCCAGCTGGACCATAAGAGGGATTATGTCTGAGCAGCAGATAAACAGCTTATTCCAGAAACAGACACTGCTTTTTTTTCTTCTTGTTTAAACTTCGTCACTCTTCTCCGAATTCTCACTCCAGTTCTACTTTCATTCTCTCTGGGTTATAGGTGTGAGCTTGAGAATTTGCTCAGGTTTTCTGCATCCACACCTGTTATTACACATCAGGCCAGAGAGCATTCTAAAAACGACTTGGGGTTTGGCAACCCCTTTCGGGGGGGTGGGAAACGCAGCTAATAGGAGGTTTTGTTCCTAAAGTCAGTCCAACGTAAGTTCTGTTTCCTGAATAACCAGCCTTGAACATTGTGAATGATAAAAAAGCAGCATGCATCTGAAAAGTGGATTAATATTTCTTATAATTTGGCTCGCGCTCCAAGTTCAAGGAAGCAAAGGTGAGTATATCTTAAAGTATATTGATGCTTGAGTTGGGGGTGGGGAGGCAGGGGGTTTACCTGAGAGGAACAAATGCCAAATTTACTGTGTGAATGTTAAAATGTGTTTTGCACTCCAGATTTGGGCATGCTTTCATTGAAGAGTAATTTTTGCTATAGGATTTGTTATTCCTATTCACAATCGCTGTATTACAGAAACTTTTTGTGCTACCCTTCATAAAAATTCCTAGTATGCCTGATTCAGTCAAATTAGCCTCTGTCAATGATGCACTTCACTTTAGACCTTTCAGTAAGACACATATAATCTCAAAACCAAAAAGGGCAATAAATGTGAAGAGGTAAGTATGGATTTCTGCTGAAAATGTTTAATCCAGCTAAAGTTGGTCATTTAAGTTAGTTGCAAATTCACTACCAATTTTTCCTTTTAGTTTCAGTGAGGCTTAATTATAAATAACCTTTGGGTGGATAATGTGCTTCCATTTCATTTTAAGAGAAACTGCTATAGTTCAAATTGCAGATGTACTTGTCATCAAGGTGTTTTTGTGTTAATGATAATGCTGTACAGGGATTAAAAACATTATTTAAGTGTTTGCTGAGAAAGGCATGAACTAACAATGATAATAAAATGGTACATACTACTTTTGCAGTGAATTAATTTAAAAAACAAACAAATACAGTCTTACTTTATTTTAGAATGGCGTCCTAATATAAGCAAAGGCATTTAGTCTACATCAGAACTGGGCTATGTTCCTTCTGATGAAGTGAAAAGTTCACATGCTTTGAATTTTGTGTAACAGAAACAGCATTGTCACTGTTACGTTTCCCTTTTTCTTTCTAGGCAGAAAACAGCAATTGGGTGGGGGATTTTGTTATTATTTAGTAGTTCATATGGTGTACTGATTTTCTTTCATTTTTAATAAATATATAAATTCACATTGCTATGATTGGATTTTTAAAAAAGCAATGATTCAGTCCACATTACAACTCTGGGTTTGTCCAACATATTTCCATGAAAAGTGAAGTACAAAAAATGAGTGGATTTTAGACTGCCTCACTCATTATTGAATAACTTCATACATATACCAGACATCTCCATTGTGCAGGTAAATGTCAAACGGGATTCAGGATCAAATCTATTTTTATTGGATTGTCAAAATTAGTAGGGATAGATTAATGACAGTGTGTTCCCAATACTGTTTTGAAATAATGTCTCTAGATGAAACAATGCAGTCATTTTCCTGCTATTTTTCTTAAGCTGCCTGATACAGTAATAGGAAGTATAATCATTCACTAACATACTCAAATAGCTGTAGCAAACACTGATCAGAATCAACATTGAGAATATTTGTCTAGAGAAAAATATAATTTAGCTAAGTAGTAGTACCACTTACAGTTGTCTTTTGAAACCATTGTTTGTTATTCCATCTTTCATTTTCAAAATCCAGTTAATGTAATCCTTTAATACTGTTTTAAAAATTGGGACACCTGGATGCTAGAGAAAAGTGAATGCTTATCTGCAGCAAGAGCTATAAGCAAAATGTGGGTAGAGATTCACTGCTCTTGCATTGAATGAACCTTTTAAAGCAATTAAAACAAACTTATTTGACAGCTTGTCAATTAACAAGGGTATGAATCTTGTAGCCTTTTTTAAAAAAGAAATTTATCATACGGAAATATATGTTTGTTCTTATATAATTCTTGAGGATTTCAACCCGTCTGAAATTAGGAGTTAGTAGATGACATTTTAGGAAGAAGAAAGTGACTATCTGAAACTTCCTGATAGAGATTATGAATTATTTCCCCAAGAAGTCGTCATTTAGAGGATAAGGCACAAGGCAACTACCTGGGTCAGGAGGGGACAGGAAAAGGATTAAATAATAAAATCTATTTTTTCTTATACTTTGAACCTGCACCAGACAGCTTAACTCAAGATTATTTCTGTGCATAGGGGCTATGACAGATCAGAAGATTTATCTTAAATAGTGCTGGTATTTGTCAGTTTGTGTTACAGTCTTCCCAATGTGATTTCCCCCCCTCCCCATTTTTCCTTTTTGGAAGTATGGGATGAAAATGCATGCACATATTTTGATACCCCTACCCTACCCACTTGATACTAGAGTCTTGTGGCATCTCAAAGACTAACAAATTTATCATGTCCACAAAGCAGTCCACAAAGGCTTGTATCATAATGAATTTGTTAGATGGCAATCCTAATTCCACATACCAGGGAGTAAGCCTCGTTGAATTCAATAGGACTTATTTCTGAGTCGAAATGGTTAGGACCACACTGTTAGGCTTTGTTGTTTTGGGTGCAGCAGGCTAACATGGCTAGCCTCTAGAGATTTGAGCAGATATATGTTTTATTTAAATGTACTGCCAGGAAGTTGTCATTATGCCTGGACAGTGATTAACGCTATGAGAGTTGCATTAGAAAACTTCAATTATTTGTTCAGATGAAAGGACCGCTTTGATACTGGGCTCATCAGTTTCTTGCTTGAGTAAAGACAGAGAAAGCAATTATGCAGCTGCCCCAGAGCCAATTGTGATGTAGGTTCTCCTCATCCAACTATCTTTTAGAAACTTTCCACAACAGTAATGTCATCTTCCAGGAAGGTCTGTCATGTTAGATTCTACATTGGGATGTGGACAGTCATGGCATAGCAGCTTACTGCGATGGTGTGTATACGGGCCTACTCTTGACATAGCAATCTAAGCCACATCCTAGAATTCAGTTTCTAATCTTGGCTCTACCTCTGTTTTTCAGCAACTATTAGCTTTGATAATGGGTCTCAGACACGAAACACCATTTCAGAATGAATCTGATACCCAAATGATACCCTGTTCAGGGAAGTTTTTAATATTTCACGCTGTACTGTTTTTAACACTAGATTGGGAGCTGCCCAGAGTGGCTGGGGAAACTCAGCCAGATGGGCGGGGTATAAATAATAAATAATAATTAGTATTATTAAAATGAAAGGCAGATGCAAGACATTCTGTCATACATGGACAAAGTGCTACGAAAGCATTAATTTGACTTATATACTGACTTCCTACTTATATTTAACTAACTTTGTTTTCCTTACAACAAAATTCCCCCATGACACAATTGAAATAGTATATCTTAATGGTTTGAAGGTGCAACTTCAAGAACCTTCCAAATATCAATGCACCGGTATAAAAAATAAACTAAAATAATAATTGTAAGTCTTCTTGTTAGAGAATTAGAGGGAAATACACCCGTTAGGAGGAGACTTCCAGATGATTTGACCCACATCAGGAATATAGGAAGCTGCTGTTTACCAAGCCCAAATCCATTGCTCCATCTAGCTTAGTTTTGTCCTTACAGTGATTTGCCGCAGTTCCCCAGAGCTTCAAGCAGTGCTCTTTCTCAACCTGCAGATGCAGAGATTGAACCTGGGTCTTCCTGCCTGCTAGCCACGTGCTGTGCCACTGACCTGTGGTACTTCCTCATCCTTTCTTAGCACAGTAAAGCTATTTGGAATTTCCTCTTCGGGCTCCATGAATATTAGGCATAATTCCAATGGTTGCTCAGACATGTTCTTAAGCTGGCAACACACACACATCCCTCCTAAGCAGAATTCTAGTCATTTTTATTCCACGCCCTGAACTACAAATACAAGATGCATGATCATTCTTGTCACAATATTATTGACTCCTTTTGTTGTACATGAAAATTATGTCATGGTGAAATGTTGCTGAAAGCATTAAAACAACAACCCTATATTGCATTTAATTGGGTCATCCACATGTGAATGTACTATCTCTTGATGATGTTCCATCCCTTGATGGCTTTTCACACACTGTGTTGCCTTTGTGGAAACAGTGCAATATTGTTATATGGCATCAAAGCATAATTCACACATCCATGTTATCATCACATGATTCAGGAGTTACTCGGTGAGTCATATGAATGTGTGGACATGTTCTTTGTCTAAATTACTTACACATTGAGATCAAGTACCTCTACATTGTGTCCTTTCCTTTTCAGAAAAGAATACGAGGATCATGTGGTTCATGGAAGCCTAATGTGAGTTTTAGGTCAGAGAATAAATATTCACCAGTTTATTCAGACAGGCGCACAAAAGCTTTCTATGTGCTTTGAGAAATCATTCTAATTACTTCTGGCTTTCCACTTCCCCTCCTGACGGCCTCAGCAGTGACTAGCAACTGTTAAAGATCTCTGTTTATATAACTGACCTCAAGAAGAAGGTTAAAAATATCTGTACCAAGAGGCCCTCATGACAATTTTTCTTTTGTTTAGGCAAGGCTACAAGCTTTTGAGTGCTCAACGCCATTCCACAAGTTAATTTTTCTGTTCACAGTGGAAATGCTATAGGCAGTTGTATTGGCTGTATGCAACCTGTTCTCTAACACAAGACCTGGGAGTGACCTTTTTGTATTATTGAAGTATGACTTATAAATTTGACATAGGGATAAACTAGTCATCATGATAGATATGCTTGTCATATTTATTGTATACCATCCATCTGGGTCCAAACTATTATGTTTTAAGATCAGGAGGGGGAAGCCTTTTGCCTACTTCTGAATGAAGATATATACAATGAGTGAATTGACAGTTGAATTGACTGTGTTGGTCAGTTAGATTAGATAGAGGCATTGCATGCTTGACTCTTGATAGCATGGTGACTAGTGTCTTATTCCTCTGAGACAAGTCGACTTGATAATAACAGGGAAAATGGGGGTTTGGGAGAACTCTGGAGTGTGAGAACAAGGCAACTAATGCTAATAACAGACCCTCTGTACAATAATGATCCAAATCAATAGGTCCAAATTAATACTGAGTAGTACTGTACTCTTGGCAGGAAGCTCACTCTATTGTAGTCTGTGGTCTGGTGTTTTCTTTTTAATTTCATAATTTTGCTGTCACTTCAAACCGGTCAGAAGAGCATTGCAATCTGTATGCTGTTCAGTTGCCTGTGTGTTCATATGGACGCATTTGCATTTGTGTGCGCTGGAGA